ATATGAAAAATAATTTAAATAATTTAATAAATTACTATATTCAAATATTATTTTTTTATTTAATTATATTTAATAATAAATTAAAAAATAATTTAAATAATTTATTAACTTATTACATTAAAAAATGAATATAATAAAATAATGAAACATTATTTGAATATAATAATTTATTTACTAATTATACAAAAAAATAATATAAATAATTTATTAAATTACTATATTCATTTTTTTATTTAATTAGATTTAAAAAATAATTTAAATAATTTATTAACTTATTATATTAAAAAATGAATATAATAAAATAATGAAATATTATTTGAATATAATAATTTATTTAATAATTATATAAAAAATAATAAATTATTTATTAAATTACTATATTTAAATATTTTAATAATTATGAAATATTTAAATTTATTTGAATAAATATGAAATATATAAATTTAATTTAATTTTACGCTAATATAAAATAACTTATCTTATTAATATAATTTACATTATATTTTAAATTTGATTTGATTTATTCATACAGAATGTCAATATATATTAAATGCTATTAAATTTAATAAACAATTTGGATTGGTCTAGTGGTTCCAATCTTATCATACAACCTTGAGGTCCTAAGTTCGAACCCCAGTGTTGCTTATATTTTTATCGCCATTTTTTTATCGCCACTGTAGCAAAAGCCTGAAATTCGGCCCGGTGATTCGAATTGCCAAAAATAGACAAGGTAATGTTATGTTTGCTAAATTGCAAAAGTTTGGTTAAAACGGCAAAATATTGTAAGGTCATGATTTTACCGGCAATTAGGCCTATAATAAAATTGGGTTGTTAAATTTTTTAAGAAAATATTTTAGTAATATCATATGACATTAAATTTTAAAATAAAATAATGATGAGTATTATGATTAATAAAATGAGGGCAATTTTATTTTAGCATGATGTCCAAATTTAAATTATATGAATTTCACTTGGTATGGATAGAATTGTATTTAATTTTGAAAATAAAATAAGTGGCATGAATATTATAATGGTAAAATGATCATTCCCACATTATTTTCTTGTTTTAGGATGAAAAACACATTACATAACCTAACAATAGTATCAATTTCGTATACATGAACAACAATTTTTTTTTTTTTGATCAATTTAATTGATTTATTGTATGTACAACTTCCTAGTATATCACTTTGCGCCCCTTCCATGTATTTAACAATATTTGGATAATTAAAAAAGAACTTCTCATTTCCCAGGCAAATATGGTACAAAACAGTATTAAAGTGGTACTATATACAAGCAAACAGAGGTACAATAATCAAGAGTAGTGGTACAGTGATCATTCTCACCTAATTTTCTTGTTTTAGCGTGAATAACACATTACATAACTTAACAATAGCATCAATTTCGTATACATAAACAAGAAATAAGATATTTTGATCAATTTAATTGATTTAGGGTTAACATGAACAACAATTTTCAAAATTCAATTCCAAACAAATTAACCAAATATATACGAATTAAACATGATTTTTGGACTCCAACATGCTTATATAATACATATATTACTTGCTACTTCAAATTTTGACCGGAAAAAGTACGAATGTTGCCGGAAAAAATGAACTTTTGGCCGCACAAATTTGACGTCGGAATCATTTGTTT